CTCTTAATCCATTCCCTAGAATGATAAACACATCATTGAACACAGTGTTCAATTTTAAAAAAAAAAACACCAACTCATCGGTGTCCAACTCAAAGACAGACAGAGCTGAGCGTATGGCAATTGTTGAGCCACTTACAATGGTTCAATTTTAAGTGCTGATTTGTTAGATAAGAATGCTGTTGACTTGTCTGGTATGTCAGTTCCACAAGATGAAAATGATAAATCAGCTACTATAGACCATGCCCATCAGGGGCGTCATTTCAGGTTTTTTCAGGGAAAGGTTGGGGGGGGACCAAAACTTGGTCGGCTTATTAAGTTGTTTATTACTGGATGGGCAACAGTACACAGCAATTTAAATAAAACCAGAAAAATCAGGGGTGGGCAAATGCCCCCCCTGCCCTACCCAAATGATGTACCTGATGTCCATTGCCATTGTTACGATAGAACAACTCCGGGCTACTCCGGAAGGTAAAAGCAGCTTCAAACTATACTTTTCATTGTCAGCTATACTGACATTAATCATAATTATACTTCCACAAACAATGATATTTAGTATTTAAAAACCTTTTCATTGATTCTGCATTAAAAAATTGCATAAAATTGTTGACGTAATTAATGCGCGACCTCATAACAGATTTTAAAAAAAATAATTTGCCTATAATATATATTAATTGTATTACCAACTGCCTTTCTCTTTTTAGTATAATAATAATAAACAAACTGCCTTATCTATTTGCACTTAAATTATTAATTTTATTTTAGATGAGACTCTAGTAGAACTAGCATTTCGGTTATCATGCAAATTCCATTTTCGTTACTAGTTTTAGACAAAAATTATTATTCCTAAATTGTAAATTTAAAATAAATTGTATGGATTTGGTTAAATTTTTTAAAAAATATATCGAAGAGGCAATTCGTAAAGTATCTGAAGACAGTTAAAGTGGTTTGAAATTCCAAATAAAAATTTCAATCTACTGAATATTGGGAAATGTATACTTTATTTGAGTACGATTTTCCTTAAATAAAAATCACACATAGGTAAATATATAATGACTTTTGTAAACTATTCATGTCTTATTAACATAGTTACGCCGTTCATATGTATTGCATCTTTCCGTCTGCGGGAGACGATAGATTATCTTTATTGCTTGCAACTCTTGGTGTGGCTGGTGAGATCAGTCCTCGAATGGCAGTCTCTGTTGCATTTCCCACACACGAATGCGGTGAAGCAGTATTTACAGGCCTTCCTCCTCGCTCTTTTTGCAGCTGTTTCCACCCTGTTTTGATCCTCGGTATGTAGTGATCCTGCGTTCACAATGCCCCGCCATGAGGATCGATCCTCTGCCAGCTCCTCCCAGTTTGAGATGTCGATGTTGGCCGACATCATGCCTCTTTTGCATATGGCTAAGTATCTCAGACGAGACCGTCCAACTGACCTTTTACCTGTCGCCAGCTCGCTGTATAGCACGTCCTTTGGTATGCGACCAGGTTGCATTCGCTTGACGTGGCTAAGGCAACCGAGGCGTCTTTGGATTAACATGGCTGGTACGCTACACATGTTTGTTTGGGACAGCACATCCGTTCATATACGATTAATGAAAATGATCAGTTTTCAAAACCCATAAAATGTATAGACCTTTCTAATTAATAGCTGTTTTTTTTTTTTTTCATTTCTGACTCTGGTAAATCTTGGAAAAGGTACCGTAGTTACTTTAAGTAATTTTTTTGTCAACTTGCGTTCAGTGTGTAAAAAGATGTTCGTAGAGCTTTTTAGTAGTGGAACCCTTTTTAATTTAATTTTTGTTTTTTGAAAATTCATTTGCTAGTCAATTGGCTATCATCTAAAATAATGTAAATAAAAAATAAAAGTTGCATAACTATTTTTAGTAATGTAAATATATTTGCATAAAACGAACAGGTCAGCCCTGTATTGCCTCTTTCCCCCCCCCCCA